TTTTCATGAACCGGTGGCGACCGTGATGTGTCAAACGCTACCTCGGCAGGGGGGGTCTGGAGGTGACCCCTCCCCCCACCCGGAGACAGAAGACCAGCTCTCTCTGACTCCCAGAGCCGGTCCGTCCGCCAGCAGCGGGTTTTGCTCACGGAAAGACCATGACGCTTACCCCTCCCGATAGAGTACAGGATATGTCGTGTCGTGTTATTTATTTGTTTACTTGCTAGCAGACAGCTGGTGCTACACTGCAAGCCACTGTCATCTCCAGCTGATTCTCTTCTCCAGTCCAGGCGCTTGTACCATCACAATCATCACCTTTTGCTCTCCCTCTAATGAGCTTTAGTTTTTGGGTGGGTCCACTGCAAATGCAGCTTCATTCACTTGACAGCCTTCAGTGGAAGGCACAAGGCGTGTGCTATGGAGTTAATTATAGACCGTTTGAATATTGAGTGAAACCCCAAGAGACATATTGGCCTCTCATTATAGAGGCGTGACGGAAACTGCAGAACATTGTTATCTTCTGTACCATTGTAGCTGTTTTTTCATCGTTGGACTAGCAGAAAATGCTTCCATGCTCGGATGGGCTGGCAGGTTTTTTATGTGCCGCACGGTCTCAGGTTAGACGAGCCTCCTTTGTGGGGTTCAGTTCCTCACGCTTTTCATCCAAACTGGCCTCAAAGCAATCGGCTATTTCTATGCAGTTTCCTTTGGAAATTCATAAGAACTGGTGTGCATGCATATGTGTGCGTGTCTGTGGATTATGTTTATATTACATTGTGAGGACTAAATGTGCCCCACAATGTGATGAAAATCTCTTAGTTTGACATTGTGGGGACCATTTCTCAGGTCAGAGAGTCCCCACAAAGATATAATTACAAATCTGTGTGTGTGTGTGTGTGTGTGCATGTGCGCGCGTGTGTGTACATGTGCATGTCTGCTTGTGTTTGCGCGTGTTTGTGCGTGTCTGTGTCTGTGCGTGTTTGTGTATGCGTGTGTGCATGTGCGTGTGTACATGTGCGTGTGTACATGTGCGTGTCTGCATGTGTTTGTGCGTGTGTGCGTGCGTGTGTGTGCGCGTGTTTGTGCGTGTGTTTGTCAGTGTGTATGTGTCTGTGCGTGTTAGTGTGTGTGTGTGTGCGTGTTAGTGTGTATGTGTGTGTATGTGTGCGTGTCAGTGTGTGTGTGTGTGTGTGTGTGTGAGTGTGTGTGCACGCGCACACGCGTCCTGAGACAGACTGACTTGTACTTCTTGGCATAGGCACCATGCTCACCGCTGTACAGGATAAGCAGTTAGGGGCGATGGATGAGTAAACAGAGATGGATGAGTAAACAGAGACAAATTATGAACATGAAAATGTGACTTACAACAGAACAACAGAAGTTATTTGTGCAACATTAAATTTAGCAAGTAAATCAGATATTCTCCTACAGGTCCAGGTTGTCCCTCATTCTGTACCCTGTGCATACTGTGATAGGCTCCAAGATCACTGTGATCCAGGACTTGGAAGGTAAATGGTTACATAAGATGGACGGATATTGCATTTCTTTATATATAGAACGCCGAATGCAATATTGCAATATCCATTTAAATTTTATTCCTGAAGATGTTGCCTAAGCATGGGGCAGCTGCCTGGAGATACAGGTGATTCTTCAGGTTGAAAGCTGAAGTCACCCCACACCACCCCCTCGGGGCACCACCTGTGGTCTCAGCCAGCCCCCTGGTAATTTTGGTCCAGGCTAGAAGCAGCACAGGCCCTTCAAGCAGCAGAATGGCCCAAAAGAGGCACAGACACAGGAAGAAGGAGCCATCAGCACCAAGGAGACAAACAGCCCCCCCACAGGGTCCGCCGTAAAGCCAGCACTTTCCTATAAATATCACCATTGCGGGTCCTTACCGTGGCGTTTCTCAAGCTCGCTTCCCCACACGCTGAGTGAGTCACCCCAATGTGGCTCACGGAACAAAAATATGAAAGGTCTCCTGACATCATGCCAGATTGGCCGCATGCCTATTGAAAGATCCGTCATATAAATCATAAAATCTGAGATCAGAATATTTCTGGATTTAACAGCTGTGCCACAATGTAAAGGGACATCTCTAGAACAACTATGCGATATCACAGAGCCAGGCATCCTAAGAAGCCTTAGTTCATACTTTGCATGTTCAGGGAGCCATATAGACAGTGAATTTAACTAGAACTTAAAGTCTGCCTGCAGCTGTCCAATAAAATCCTCAGATTATTTGTTAAGGTACATTCCGCTTGTGATTGGCACGGGAGGCAGTGTAAACACTGCCTGGATTCTACGAATAAGTTCACCTGTTATGTACACAAAGCATAAAAAGTAATGACTGGACTAGAGCCAGATGACGACTGAGACCCATCAGTTGATGAGACCTGGCTCAGTCTGAGGTTCCACGAGTCTCCAGCCAGTGACGGCTTCAGTTGTTGTCCTGAACCCTACGCCGCCACCATTGTCTTAAAACTGGATCTGGCCAGTGTCACCCCCAGCCAGGCATTGGACAGGTCCAGTTTATACAAAGCTACCTTTGCAAGGAGTTTACCAGCCCGAAAAAACAAACAGACTTTTAAATCTAAGTTTGTAAGACGTCATAACTAATCTACAAAAAAAGACTCAATACAGAAATCAACATAAGTGACATTTAATATCTTAAAGCTTAATGAGATGATGTTCTTAGAATGTGTTTTTTTATACAGGGATTCTGTACAGCCCTTTGACAAATAGGAACCCACAATTAAGAATTCTAGTAGTTTAAGCATCTACAATGTCAACCTTAACTATGCTAGACAGAGACGCTCGTGAGAGTTTTACTTACACAAAAATGTTCTGAGGGCAGAATGAAAATCGATTGGTCCAGAAAAATAACCGATCAGATTGTAGAGGTGGGTCCAAGCAACTAGTGGAGGTGGGGCCAACCAATCAGATGTCTTGGTCTTGTCTGCTTTAGTTGCTTGGACCCACCTCCTCTACAATCCGATTGAGTATCTCTCTTTACCAATCATTTTTCATTTGGCCCTCAGAACATTTTTGTGTAAGTAACACTCCCATGAGCTACAGAAACACACATACTGTATGAACAGAATTTCACTGAGGTTTGCCCTGCTCCAGTGTTGGAAGGACAGCTCCAGCTAAGCAGACAAACTGGCACCTACTTGCACCTTGCTTACAAATAATTGCCGGCCGGGTATGAAGAATGGACCTGGAAGCTGCCACTCACAGCTTAGTTTCAACAAAACACTGAGAGCAAATCACCCTGGCGGAGCAGCCTTGCCACACGACTGGCATCTCATAACAGAAACAGGGAATCATGCTGTTCCAGCCTGCAAAGCCGGCAGGTTTGGAAGATGCAGCTAGTTTTGCAGCACAGGTGTGCTGGCTGCTGCTGTTCATCTTGGACGACAGCATGATGGGGGCGACGGTAGCAGCCTGAGCCGACCTGCCACTCCTGGGCAGCAGACCTCAGAAACATCAACTTCTTGTACTGAAATAATTGACAAGCAGGCTAACATGCTAACATTTCATTCTTTTGTGTAATCAAATATTATTGCCCATTTTGCATGAAGGCATGGCAAACTCGGTAATAAAGCTGCATCAGCCTTCTGCAGGCAAACTGATGTCAGATGTTTTCAGGAGGCCTTTGGTGATGTGGACAATGGCGTGTCATAACCCTGAGGGTCTCCCTGCTGTTTATCCAGATTGAGTCCGTGCAGAACCGGAGCACAGCCTAGAACCCTGTGTAGTTAACTCAGTGGCTGGCGGTGGTGTAACACCTCCAGAATGCATTCATTCCCTCTGCTGTTTGTTTGGATTGGATTTTAATATGTGAAAGCCTGCTGAATTCTTGACCCGGCCTCAATGCAACTTCAGTTTTAATAAATACAGCACATTTTTATCATTTTCAATGGGATCACTTCTTCCTAGGCCCAAATCTTTATGAATTATTTATCATTTCATTGAGTCTCTGCATTACATTTCCCACTTAGAGTGGGTATAGACATTTAGACACATGTGCCTTTAAGCAAATTGCCATATTAAATATGTTTTAAATGCGTAGCATTATTCTGTATATGTATTTTAAACTCCTCTGATTCGACAGTGATTAAAATTTTGGTGCAACAATATGGTAAAAACCTAGAACAGACAAGTTTTTCATAAAATATTCAGTCAAACTGAAAGCCTAGCTGTCAGTGATTATTCCTTTGTCTTCCTCCATTTGAGCGTCAGTGATACATGAATTAAGACAAAAGCATCACTGGAATAATGAATAACAAGCATGAGCAGTGGTTAGTGATGGTGTTCCTGAGTTCCCTGTTTTCTCTGTTTAATGATACAGTGCATCCAGTTACTCAGACTACCTCACTCATCATAGGAGACAGAAGTACTTTTCAAACGCAGTGCTGTCATTGTGGGAGGGCCACTGGAAATGTTTGCTGCTTCAGTGTGAATTTATAAGATCCTTTTCCATTTCCTTCTAATTTGCTCTGACTGATTATTCCATTTGTCGGGGGGTGGTTAAGGCATTATTGCAGATGGATGGATGAGCATTCTCATACTGTGCCACTGGACGCCATTTTATTGTTGTAATGTAATTCATTGTGAGCCAATGACGTTCATTTAACTTATTCTTCGTAATTTCAATGCATATATGCAAAGGAAATTAATTTAAAACCATTTTCCTTCAGGTATTCTAATAGCATACTGTAATTAGTGGCTTTAAATTTACTCAAATTCCAAATAAGCCTTGATTTGTATTGAACTCCTTTTAAGATCTATCAAGGTCACTGTACCGTTGGTACATTGTGTTTTCATAAAACGGGAAAAAAAAACGATGTCGATTGATAGATACCAAATTATCTAAGTATTATGGTAACGCGCATATATATCATTTATTACGGTAAATTTATATCGAACCTTCCCATAAATGTTTTAAATCGTACGACCACGCTATACATTTTTTCATTATCAGAAAAAATACATATAACATATCTCACTCAATAAAATATATACGCGTTCAAAGTAAAAGTCGGGGTGTTAAGGTGACGTGTATCATAGCTGGTACTTTCCACTTCCTGGTTCAAGGATCAAGGCGTGGATTCGTGTTGGGGGTAACAGAAGCTAGAGATTTTTGTCAGAATGTAAGTCCGTGTACATTGTATTCATTTATTTATGTAGCGCTATTAATATATAACAATAATGTTAAATATGACAAGGTGATGTGATCGCGTCTTACTGTGTACCTCTTTTCTTATTCAGGTCGAAAGTGACGTTTAAAATAACGCTGACTTCGGACCCCCGGCTGCCTTATAAAGTGTAAGTGACAGTTTCCTAAAGAATCGGGGCTTCACAGTTCCAGGTCTGCCTTCGTTAATAAGCAAACCGTTCAGGATCTTATTATTGTTCTGCACTGACTGTAACACTAAGCCGGTAATAGCCAGATGTGTTTCTGTCTTTTGTTTTGTACCATAAACCGGCGGTTGATGGTCTTGATTCATTTAACACGTATGGTTTCCAGCGCTTCCTGATGGCAGCACAGATTCATTGCTTTATACGTTCAGAATGAGTCACGAGCAGACGTATTATTATTAATTTCAGCGCTGTTGACTGCCCTGCGACGTACTGCCATGCGTATACTGTCTGCGTGTGTCCGGAAAGAGGATGTTGTTTTCTTGTTTGCTAATCGCATTAGGGCAAATTTATTTATAAACGTTCTCGGAATAAGACTGACCAAATGTGCTAATGGTGCTGATTGTCTTCCAGTTTGAGCGTCCCCGACAGCACGCCCTTCACTGCGGTGTTAAAGTTTGCTGCTGAGGAGGTAAGGGGGCGGAGCCTCGTGACGGCGCGTGCGGCATTTGCGCTACGCGCCCCGTTACAATGTCTCACATTTTTGTCAGTTTGGGCAGTAATTGATTGTAGTGGGGGATTTTTGCTGGGCTCCATACAGCTTTCCGATGTTTCACATTAAAAGATTAACAAATGCAACAGTAACCGTAAATAATAGTAAACGCTACACTCTCTGTCCAGCTGTCGCCCGCAAACGGCGACAGACGTGCATTGCGCACAAAAACGTCAACATTGTAAGCAGGCAGTCGTTCCCATCCAGAAGAGCTTTTAAGAAAAAAAAGCTGATAATGTAATTTCATTCATGTGGCTTTGGTTCACGTATGAAAGATTCAATGATAATTGCCGGTTAGTATTTAAATAAGTATTTCTCTATTCATTGTCCTAATGCTATGTATTCTGGGGGTCACTGGGGGTGTGTTCTTGCTCGGACTGGGTGTTGGGCAGGGTCGTGGGGTCCAGCGATTGTGGAGCATCTGTTGGTGAAGAAAGATTTACTGATCTTGACTTTGCTGACAATTCTGTGATATACGCGGAGTCAATTGAGGCTCTGTTAGGGGCTCTCGAGACTGAGCGATGAGTCAGTGTCTGGGATTGCGCGTGTCCTAGATAAAGACCAAGATCCAGGCCTTTAACCATGTCTTGGGCACAGCCGTCAACAGTGTGTCTGTCTGCGGGGAGAATGTCGATCTCCTCGAGAGGTTCGCTTACCTCAGCAGCGACGTTCATGTCTCTGGTGACTCTTCCTATGAAGTCAGCAGAGTGATTGGGAGAGCATGGGGGGGTCATGACATCACTGGAAAGGGGTGTGTGGCGCTCGATCCCGGTATCTTTTCAAGAGGATGAAGGTCCAAGTCTTTTCTCTTGTGCTCCCTGCTTTGCTGTATGGCTGTGAGACATAGACACTATCCAGTGACCTGCGACGAAGACTGGACTCCTTCGGTACTGCGCACCTTTGGAGAATCCTTGGGTACCACTGGTTTGTGTTGAATGAGTTGCTAGAGGAGTCCCGAATGAGGCACATTACCTGCACTGTGTGGGAGGGTCAGTTATTGCCCTACGGCCATGTGGCGCGTTTCCCTGATGGTGATCCGGCTCGCAGGATCCTCATTGCTGAGGACCCGAGCAGCTGGACCAGGCTGAGGGGACGCCCACGAGACACCTGGCTGTGGCAGGTGGATGGTCATTTCTGGAGGGTGGGACTGCACTGTGTACCTGCCTGGGGCTCCCCAACCCGACCTGACCTGACCTAACCTGACTATGTATTACACCTGCTGTTCATTGAACGTCTGTTTGGTCTCAGGTATTGCTACTTGATATGTGCAGTAACTGTACATTCTTTGTCTGTTGGGGTGGCGGATACTTTTTCTACTTTCGTAATTTTTAATTTTTAATTTTTATGCTGCTATATTTGTATAACGTTTTTCACGAGCCGTGTCATAAGCGTTTCAACATATGGCTGAATCCGTTCATCACACAATGACAAAGGACTTAATATTCTGATGAACCTGCAGAAAGTCCATCGCAACTGAAGGTGGCAGCACCTCGTGCAAAGGGAGCAGTGTGTGAAACAATGGAATGGAAATACTACGGAAAAAATCTAAATTGTGAATCATACACAAGTTTAAAAAAAATATATATTTTTTTTTTTGGTATAATCGGACAGTGATTAGCTCCTACCCATATCACAGATTGGGAAGTTGGTTCATTGGTAAAGTGATTTTTTTCCCCCTTTTACTGTTGAGACTCATGCTTGACTGATCCTTCCTGTTCAGGTTGGGAATGACACGGGTCGCCCTGGGCTATTTTTCTGTCTCTCTCTTATCTAAGCTCCTCTGCTTGGTCCCTTGCATCACTACAGCGATTTTTCTTCTCTTGTGATGTGGAAGTGAAGTTAATGGAAAGCATTTTTATAAGTCCACGTAGTCCTGGGAAAGATGTGGCATTTGGTTTTAGCAAAGGGTGGTGTGCCTCAACCGAAATTTTTGTAGTCCTGTCTTAATTGGGGTGTGGCAGACTTCAGGTTCTTTGAAGAAAAAGGTTGTTATTTCTTAATTTGGTGCATTAATTGATAAAAGGGTTTTTTCTTTAACATTCCACTGTTTCTTGGGTCTGTGGCAAGCTTGAGTGATTCTACAGTGACCTTTGTAGTGATTTTTTTTTTTTTTTTAGAGTTTGATTACAAGCTGCCCAGAAGTAAACTCTATTCTCAGAAGACACATGTAGTTTAGGCCCCTTTATACAGGCAGCAGAAATGGGGGGGGGGGGGATTTAAGGTCACCTTTTATCACAGTAGCAGCAATTCCTCCAGTGTTAGGAACCTCAGGGAATAGCTGTCTCCAGCTGTCTCTTTCCATGGACCTTCGGACAGTGAAGTTTCTCTTCCTGCATAGTACATCGGAAAATATACAGCATGCTTGATTGCTGGGCTGTTTTCGGGTGTGGAGTGTGTTGTTTTGCCTGGGTGGGGGTCCTGGGCTGTGTACTGCTTGCTGTGTGTTCTGTTTTCAGAATTGTAACTTTGGAATCACAGGTGTTCTTATCGGTGTGCCTGGGTGTTGTGTGCAGAATCCGCAAATAAAGTATGAAATAAAAATGCACCCACTACTGTTTTGTGTGTCTGCAGTCCCGAGGGTAGACATTTGGTTTCTGTTCTATAGAACGAAAAGGACAAAAAGAGAGATGAGTAAAACTTAAACTGTGCATCTTCTGTATTTTGTCATCCTCGTCTGCCTGTCCTGTTCCCCCGCTGTTGGCGATGTGGTATTTTTAGAAATTTCTATTTTTCTTTTGCAGTTTAAGGTGCCTCCAGCGACTAGCGCCATCATCACAAATGGTGAGTATTATTCTTTTTTTTTTCTCTTATAAATGTTATTTGTCGCTTCATGCAGTTTGGCCGTAGCACCAGTGCACAGAAAGCCAAATGTCATTCGATTTTTGCGGGCCGTATTTGAGTTTCATTAAGATGAAAATGAGAGCGGGCAGGTTATCTTGGAGACGCTTATCTGTGGTGTGTTTTGAAGGCAGCGATTTCACCATCGTGCTGCGCGTTGGTTCTCACTCTGGCGGTGCGGGTCGCTCCTCTTCTCGTGCTTTCCGGGCTTTTAATGGACGCTCTAGCAAAGCTGCTCCTGTGGCCACGCTGGAGGTCACCGTCAGCGGCCAGCTGGTGTTCCTCCGCTTGGCCATAAGGATGGGGGGGGGCGCTGTAGAGAACGACAGGGGACGGCACGGCGGAATTAAGGTGTCGCTGCCTAACTGAAGTTCAGGAGTGGGAATGGCTTCCTTCCCGTCGCCAAGGCAACACTCTGCCAGTGGCCTGCGAGGATGCAGTTGCCGTGCCGACGCAAAGGGTGCCCCCCCCCCCCGCCCCCAAACGCGCCTCCCTATGCTTATTCATGTCCTGAGCCTGTGTCTTTTGTCTTTACAGATGGCATTGGGATCAACCCGGCTCAGACAGCAGGTGGGTGCCCTCTGTGTAGCTCTACGACAGAGTCCTTGACCCCCCTCCCCCCCCCATCCAGCTGTCTGTGTCTCACCCCAGGCTCACAGCTGCAGGGTGCTCTTGGAATCACCCATTTCTGCATTGGGCTCAGATATCTCACTGAGCAATATGTCTTCTGCACACAGTGTGTTGATAGGAGGATTACATTTATTCCTGTATATTGCTCTATTCTGTTTATTTCTGTCTATGATTAATGTCTTTTCTGTTACATATTGCCCGGTACGCTGCATTTTTTAAAGCGTAATCTGCATGCATGCACACATACAGTGTATGTGCAGAGGTTGAGTTCATTTCTGGTTGCTGTGGCGTTTTCCCGCACGCAGACATAGGTCAGGAGATCAGCGTCTGTTCAGCCTCCTCTGGGGACTCCTGCCACCGTGCATTGCTGCTAGCCTTGCCGCGGCTCGTATGCTAATTTTAATTATTCCTGGCTCGTCTATGATTCGCTGCCATCACATGTCTCTGGAGGGGGGGCTTTTCCTCAGTCTCCTGTCGCACTGGAGTGCCTTGTGTCGTAACATTCACCTTTTTTTACATTTTTTTTTTTTTTTAAATCCAGAGTCTCACATCGTCACCAAATCACAGCTGCTGGCTTCTGGCATGGTGGGGATTTTGGGAAGTGGTTACATAACCGGTGACATTTCAGAAGCGGTGACCTCTGCCTGTCTCGTTTTTTTGCATTTGAACGACACTGTAGGATATTAGTCGACGTGAACCTTAATCCAGCGGGGTGGCTGTGAACTGAGTTGTTGCCAACGTTTTGGCAAATTATACCCATTACTGCCCCCTTGTGGTTGCGTGGTTCTTTTTTTTTCAGTAGGCCATCACCGTATTAATGATATGCCTTTGGAATTTTTGCATTAGGCTTTATGATGGGACTTCAGGGACCGTGAGCAGCAGTGCTGAAATAGAAGGAGAAGAACATTTTTTTGCTAATGATGTGGGTAATACAATTAAAAACTCCCTGCATAAACGAGTGTTGGCCCACCATCTGTTTTTTTTAAAAACAGCAGGGTGCTGGTGTCACATGGCATTTAAAAAAAACAGAAAATGATATTAGCTCACTGCCACCCCCCCCCCCCCGAATTTCCAGCTGCAGTTGTTTTCCGTAATGCAGGCAGCCCAGCAGTCAAACCCATTCAGCACTGTGAGCGACTGCCTATTGTTCTTTTCGAAGTACAGCCGCCAGTTGCTTTGCGTCACTTTCTTCATTTTCACTGTTTCATTGTTAATTACTGTCAATTATTAAATTATTAATGGTGTCCTATTCCCTACAGGAAACGTGTTTCTGAAGCATGGTTCCGAGCTCCGGATCATTCCCAGGGATCGAGTGGGTGCCTGGTGATTGGCTGTACCATGACCAATCAGAAAACAGAGGAGATGGGGCGGGGCTAGGTGGGGTATGGAGGGGTGGGGCAGATGGGCGTGGCTCATATCAGCTTTTATGAATGAGCTGTTTATTTATTGGTTTTCGTCGACCCTGAAAACATGCACATGGGATGTAAACAGCATCAGGAGGTTGTGACATCACTCTTCCCTTTACCTGCCAATTCCCGTGCTTCACCGAGTGGATTCTGAGAGAGAAGGATCTGGAACATTGCTTACTGGACCTGTTATCAGTGGTAAACTAGTCCCCCTGTGCCCTCTAACCTGTCCAAGATGAAGAGACTCTCATAACTGTGTAACGTCAGCCTACCATCCCCCAGCAGTGGAGTTGGATCCCTGCACTTTTTTGTTTTCATCTAAGTGGACATTGAAAGAGATTTCAATTATACTTAATTGGTTATTTTTTGTTTCGCTTTTGTCTTTCTCTATCATTCACTGAAGTGTACTCTCTGCGCCACGTCTGTCTGTAAACAGCTGGTTTTAAGCCAAAAGGCATTAAATGTTAACACGAGCCTGACAGGTGAAACCGTCTGAGCGGCCAAAGTGTTTCAGTTGATAGGGGCCAGCGGATGCTGGTGGCTGCAGCTCTGCTCTCATCGCCGTCCGCTTCAGCCCAAAAGCCCAGATTCGTGATAAACATGTTCAGTGGACTCAAGAACAGATGGAAAGCCGCATTTATTAATTTTCAGTGCTTTGCCTCCGTTCTGCATTCGGTCATATTCGATCGCACCGAACATGTTGTACTAAAACGAGACTTTCTGCCAAGACTACGGAATGTACAGCTTTGGCAGCCCCAGTGCATTGTGGGTCAGGCATCATCTCTCTTAAGCAGCCTCTGTGTGTGGTGTGTGTGTGTGTGTGTGTGTGTGTGTGTGTGTGTGTGTGTGTGCGTGCGCGCACGCACATACGCTCATCACAGCCATCAACCTCTTACATGCCCAATCTTCACCAGAACTGCTACAATGGCTTTTTGCCCGAGTGCTTTTCCTTCCGCCGCACTTATCAAGCTCTCAGAGGTTTTGTGTTGTGTCAACCAGCCCCGATAAAGAGGAGCGTGCCGAACAAGGACAAAGAGAAGGACGAGTGTCCGGCGAGCAGCGCTTCCCACACTGCATTACACACCCCCACAGCCCCTCCCCAGTCATATCTCAGAGTGCTGCCGCTGTAATGACCCTTTCATCCTTTTTCCATCAAAGAGCCCTCAGGCTGTTTCTGAGGAAGACGAGAGAGCAGCCTTTGTAGCTTCCTGGTAAAGTCTCGCCCCCCCTCAAGGGGGTTGCTACTTCCACCCATCTTGCGGTTTTGTTTTTTTTTCTTCACTCAACATCTAATCATTCCGATTCAATACTTCAAGTGACATTTTGAAACACCTGGTCCTTCTGGTGAAAATTTGGGCGCTAATTGAAATGTATTCTCAAACCCATGGGGCTCTGTCTCTCTGATTTGTTTAGGGGGGGGGGGGGGGGTTGGCATGGCAGTGTTGGGGGAGTTTCATAGTGTGTAACATTATCATATATATACAATAAAAGCAAAGTGGAGCGCTCTGCGGCCCGGAAGCAGGCCGGCCCGGTCTGGTTTGGATGCCTCATAATGAGGTGTCAGTCACCGCGGTCCGACATCCCGGCGTGGCCCCCCAGCGTGATTGACAGGTTGCAGAAAGGATAATTAACTAGCAGCGTTTTCTGGGAATCAGGAAATGACTGGTTAGGGGGTTCAGCGTTCCCGTACCCTCCCTCTGAGGCGATCGCTGTGTACCAGGAAAGAAGAATTGCGTCTGTGATACAGAAAAATGCCCCCCCCCCCTTAGCCTTCCAGAGCTCAGTGACGTTAGAGGGGTCTCACGCAGGTCTGGCCCTGGACTGTAACATAAACCTAAATCTCATACATGTACACTATGGCGATCTGTAAGTTGTGATCAGTCTTCTTCAGCTCCTCATCTGCCCACAAACGGGCCACTTTCAAATGAGGTTCCACACTTGATTCACCCCTCATCTGAAGTGACTGTCTCCTTGTTGTGTGATGATTAGGCTCTTCTTGCTGTCCCTCCCGTCCCTTACATCCATGGGGTTTCTGTTTGCTGACTGATAACATGGACCACTGGGCCGCTCAGCCAGACTATACCATTCAGTGAGCTTAGCACGGACGGCCACTCGTGCAGTGATTCACGGTTTTTCAGACCAGTCTTTGGGGACTCTCAGATGACCCACGGTTTTGGTCCTTCCCAACTCCCAGGGAATTGGGAGAGAGCAAAAAACGTGGACCATCTGGGGTCCCCGAGGACTGGTTTGAGAAACATCGCAGTAAGTAACGGCGGGCGGCAAAGACGATGTTCTGAACGTGAACTGTTTTACTGGAGTGAAATCTATTAAAGTCCCTATAGGTGGAAACCTGAAAATTGCGGAGTCGTGTGTGAGGTTCTGGGGTGTTCTGGTGTGTTCTGGTGGCTTGTTCCTGTAGCTCGACAAGCAGAACCTTGCACTAGCAATGCAAAGGTCATGGCCTTAAATCAAAGGGGGTGCACATAAATTGCACCCCTTCCTTCTATTATAAGTTGCTTTGGATAAAAGCATCAGATGTATGAGTAAATGTAAGGACCAGTGGTTCAGTGTTGTCCACTGTTTCCTACTGATCTGTCTCACTCACATACTCTGCATAAATAATCCTCAAGTTCTAATGTGAGTAGGCAGAAGTCCACAAAGCCTTTTAGGGAAACACTTTACTTGATGGGGCACAAATGATATAGTTTAATACTATTACTTATGTATTGATTAACCACAGACTAAGTCTTAGTTACATACTGATCTCAGGTTAATTCATCATTTATGAATCGTGATCCATGTTTTACCTCAAGCAGTTACTCTATTACTATATCTGTTAATTCTGTAAACCTTTGTGAACTACTGAAGGAACTACTAAGAAATTACTGAAGGCACAACTAATAAATAACACAAGTTAAATATTGATGTCATGTTTGTTCATCATTAATGAATCGTGACGCATCTTTTATCTGAAGTAGCAATTATATTTGTTCATGATTTGCTCGTAATTTGTACTTCAGTAGAAACTGAGTTATTACTAAGTATTTGTGCCCCGTTAAGTAAAGTGTTCCCTGTTTTACTTTAGTGTGCTGATATCCCATTTATATTCTCCTGTGGTCATGATTGCCAATGGGCCTTAAAGGTCATGTTTACCATGAGGTGTCAGAGACTGGAGTTGGCCAATCAGAGGAAAGCGGCCAGCGTGGGTAGCGAAGATGGCTATCTATGGTCATTCCTCTTTTTGTTTTTTTCATGTCTTATCTTGCTCTTTTCAGTTTCAGCCGAAGTGGTGAGATTTACAGCCGTAGCTATTGATTAGCTTCTTGATTTGAGGTCCCTTCTGATCTTTGACCTTTTGCCCACTTCATTTGCTGCCTAGGAGGAATATGTATTTGTTGTTTTATTAGTTCAATGACCTTTTATACCTTTATTTCATGTCTTTGTATGAGTTGTGTTCCCTGTATAAACTGTATTAAATGAAATATAAGATTTCAGCACTCCAAATTCAGTCCTTAATTCTGGAAGGAATGGATCATTACCACAGAACAAACACACTGGAATTTTTCACCGTTTCATGCTTCACTGGGCTCTGCAGTGCATTGTGGGTATTTACCACCCTGAGTTAAGTGACTCAACCTTTTTTTGTTTCCAGAAATGATCAAGATAATAATGTATATGTTGTAAAAAGATGTTGGTGAAAAGTCTTTTTCCACCTACAGAAAAAAATAGAATGTTCTGAAAGGTAGTCTTTTATACTACCATGTACTGTATGTTATGTTCAGAAACTTCTGTCCTCTTTAATTATATGATTCAGTTGTAATTTTAAAATCTAAATAACTTGTTGTAGACTAAGGTGGGTCCTCTTATATCTTTGTTCCTGGTCCTTGTTTTTTTCATCAGTTTGATTAACTCATTTCTATTGTGAATATAGTTTATATTAATTACATCTACACAAAGTACTCGATGTGTTTTCTCATGAACATGAAAAATGATCTTAGAGGTGAATGGGAATTTTGTATAGATTTTGTAATGATTAATGACAGCGGTACTTGTTATTTTTAAAAAGTAACTATAAAAATACTTGAAGATCTTTCCCGCAGAGTTGCTTATTAATCCTGGATTAAACTTAATTAAAAGGTGAACCCAGTGGCTTCTTTGTCTTGATCATACATACTTTGAAGCCTAACCAAATTCACTGGGAAATGAAAAAAATAGACCAAGTACTTTTTTATTTTGAATACAAGTACTTACTGTGTGGCAGCCTCCATGAAATGAAGAGTTTATTCTGGTACTCAAAACGGAAAATAACCCAGACTCTGCGTTGCTGCCGCCCACCGTTTGTAGGTCCTTAAGGACTGGATTGGGAAACACTGCAATGAGGCAACAGCCAGAGTCGTAGACCTAAGCAACCCTGTCCCAAAAAAGAGTATACCGAATGTACAAATAAATATTCATTTTTTTCACTGCTTGTCCTATACAGGGTTGTGGGGGGTTGCTGTGTTACTCAAAAAGGATAATAACTCAGACGCTGCGTCGCCAATTTGACAGCAAAACCGCCGAAGAATAAATTACATAAAAGATATCACATGGCGGTTTCATACTTTATTGGTTCCTCGTGGTTTTCTGATTTTCCTTAAGAATGGGAGGTGATTGCCCCTTGATAGTAAGCGCAGATTTTTCTGTCTGTATCGATTGCATGGAATAGGCCTGTTAGCCAAGAAGTAATTAAGATGGGCATCAAACCACAACACACTCATGGGACTGCAGTTTCTGGAAGTGTGGTTCCGGAAAATCCTAGTGTGTGTATATTGTGCAGACCAGTCATGTAGGTTGTTTCATCCTCTCAGAACTGCAGACTCCAAAAAGATTTGGCGGTGTGTCTTGCCCAGCTAGTTGATAGTGTTTCATCAATTTTTATGTAAGGATTATTATTTTATAGGATCAGTGGTGCTGTCTGGGCAAATATGTGCTTTATATGTGATAAAGGCGCACTTGGTTATAACACGTTTGAGGTGCCTTTGTATGCAGAAGAGAAGCCAGTTATCTCGCCAGTTGAGAAGACCATTAATAATAATAATAATAATATGATGTAGCGACATTTTTATAAACAGATGCTTTTGGAAAGTAATAAAATGTCCGTCGTTGCTTTTATACCAGCCCTGGCGGTGGATTTCAGAAAGAAATTTCTCAAAAATGTTAAGGAAACATTAATAGGGGTGTCTGCGGAAAGGAAGCACATATTGGTGAGACGTTTTGAGGTCCCCTAATGGGTGGGATCGACATTTCTGGGTATAAGCTGAAGGGAATCAATAATACTGTAGAAGCGAGCTGAACCAGATGGTCAGTCGCAGGTACTCCTAGATGTGAGGTGTTTTAAAGTGCCATTTATACCCGTCTCCTGGATGGAGAGGTTTAGTCAGCCACTCAGATATACATTTTATCCAGGCAGGCAGCTGCAGTGTTTCTGTAACACTCCCCAATTAGGTGGTAAGTCAAATACAGACCTCAGCCTACGCGTCCATTACTGAGTCGGTGACCTATTTGTTGACCAGCGGTGCAAACAGAGTTTTTCTTTTCTTGAAAAGGTCATGTACCTTAAATTCACCCAGAAGAAGCACATATGCTTCAATTCAGGTATTCGAGTAAAAAGGAAGACTTGTCTTTTTCCATTAGATTTTGGTTTAAAAATGTTTTCATGCAGTGCTCTAGCAATATTTTCTCTTAGGAAATATTCAGTGCACATGTATGTTATAGCAAAATGCCTCCATAATCACAACCATACATTACCTTGTAGTGCATCTGGGGTATGTGCCTGTTTTTGGCAGTTAGGCAATTAGTTAGCAAGAGCTCTTCTTGTACCACGCAGATGATCCAGCAGAGAGGGCAGCTTTAATGGCCTCTGCGCCGCAGAAATGCCCCAGAGAAAGCAAGGGGTAGATATGAACATACATCGACATTCAGAGGCGCACAACACTGGCATTGAAGGGCCACTGTTCTTATGGCTGAGTAAACATTCTGGAATTAAGACTAGCATTGGAATATTGGATAACGTTAGAGTCAGGGCAATAAGGTAAGGGCAATAAGGTAAGGGGTAGGGGTATGGTTGGCATTATCATTAAGGTTTAGTCACTCTAGTGTAAAAAGTCGTCTTTGCAGTGTCGAGCAAAAGTGGACGTGATACAGGATGTGATGTTATATTTCAAGACAGTGGTGCAGTGATGTTAATAAGAAACGTTGTTAATAGTTTGCCTTTAAAATATATATTTGAAAACTACATTTTTCTTGCACCTTGCCAGTCAGTATGGGTGGCACACAGTGGGATAAATGCTTATTGTAATGTGAGCCTTCTAGTGGGTAAGCGAGGTAAGAGTACTTACTGGTGATGTTAGATGCACCGTGATATGCTTCCTACCTTCGAGGCCCGTTTGAATGCTCTCTGTCGGTAATACAGCTTTATGTCCTGTTTACACATTTATATTCTGACAGTCAAAATGAATTGGTTGCTCCATGGCTGGTGAAGTTGAAAGGTCAACCATGATTGGCTTAGCAATGTGAATTCACAGGTCAAAGTTGAATTAAGAAAATTAATATTTTTTTTGTGCTAGTGTGACCACACCTTTAGGGATAACCCTAAACTTAGCTCTAACCCTAATACCAATCCTAACTCTAACTTCATGATAAGTGGTACTAACCTAAACCCTAACCCTAGGCCTAAACTTAAGGGCAGCCCTAACCCTAACCCTAACCCTAATGCTGGTCCTAATTCTAACTCATACACTAAACTTAAATTTTAAGCCTAGCCATAATGCCATAGTTTTGTGGGCTAATTTAAGGTTAGCATTAAGATATGAGTTTAGGACGTTTGAATCTAATATCTTCTCTAGAATCTTTGGCAAAGCTTGTTTTTTTGTTTTTACCTGGCAGCCGTCGACAAGGATTCCGAACATTCTTCATCATTCAGGGGTCCTCTGCTTCATTATTACACATGACATGATTTTAGATTGATGTTCAAAAATCCCATTTTAAATTCTTAGATTAGATTGTTCTGCATTAAATATTTTATCATGGTGGCTTGGTGGATAATTCAGTCCTTGTCTTGGGTCTTGGTTGTATGTTGAGGTTGTACATCCTCCTGGTCTTAAGATCTCCTTTCGTGGCCCAGAATACCATCTCCAAGTTTCCTTGTGCCTGTGTGTGTGTGTGTGTGTGTGTGTGTGTGTGTGATGGAGTGGTGTCTAGTTAAAGGTGTACTCTATTACTTGAGACTGGTTCAAGTTTTGCTGTAACCCAACGTTTGATAGATTGCTTGGGTCAAACAGATGGTGAATCACATACTGTGTTATTGTATCATCTAGTA